AAAAAAAAAAAGATAAGCCCCAAGATATTTTTTTATCCTTTATGTCTAATCAAGAGGTTTTATTTAATTTCTCTGTGCACACGAATCATTGTTATTGTTCCTGTTTGATAATACACTTTCACAAAGAGATGATTACTCTTCTAACACAGAATTACTCATGCTTATTTATGTATTTATCTCATAAAGTCTTCTAATCAAAATATTTATGGCAGCCATCTCACGTGATGCGCCTTACAAATTTTGCTATTTATATTATTTGTTATTCAACAATCACTGGAAAAGATGTAAATTTAAAAGTTCTAAGAAATATCGTTTTTATATATGCCTTCAGAGATATGAAAAAACATATTGTATAGGCTCATGATGAATTTTGCTGCTCCAAACTTGTTTTTCTAGCTCTAAAACACTTCCGTCCCCCTTTTTCATCTCTTTTTTTATTACATGAAGCAATAAAATAATTTTGCAGGTATTTTGTTGTACCACAGAAAATCTGTCTTTGCTCCACACTGTTGATTATGTGAATGCCAAACTAAAGTTTACAATTTTCTTTCCTGATTTTTTTTAAAGATTTAAAAAAAAAAGATGTATTTGATGTAAAAAATAATATATATGATGATGCTAATCTTGTCATTACTCACAATAACTCAAAAATAATGAAAAGTAATAATGGAATATGAAAATGTGAATTAAAAAATGCTAATAATAATAAAGCAATAAATTATTTTTCAAAGCTGTATTTTAGCTAATGTTGTTGTATGGTTTTAGACATGACATATTACCCAGACTCTGTTTATTCCAGTGCCTAAGACCAGTGTTGGGGGGAACGCATTACAAGTAACGTAATCAGATTACTTTTTTCAAGTAACTAGTAAAGTAACGCTTCAAGTTACTTTTTCAAATAAGTAACGCCAGTTACTTTTTTTTCCCCATTTATTGATTGAAAGCTCTCCTGTGCCCATGTTGAGAGAAATCGGGAGTAAGATGTTACTTTAGTTGTAGAATAAATATGAACATGCATTAATTCATCTCACTCACTCACTCAAAAAAAAAAAAATCAGATTTAGTTTTCCTCAAAATTAATAAAAACAGTTAAGCGCAACTCAGAATATGACTCAAAGCTGCAATAATTAAATATGTTAAATAATACGAATATCCTTTATGCATTTAATCCCATTTTATTAACCAATTTGCTGCTGACCTTCAGTGATCCAGTTCAACCGTACTAATAAGAAAAAATTACACAAGATAAACTAACATTTCTTCTTTTTTTATTGCTTTTAAGAGTGTTGAACTTTCTTCTTCTTTGTTCTACTGTACAGACGTGAATTTACATTTCCTTCAGCCTGGGGCTTTTATGTTTGCCAAAAATATAACTTTTTATATTAAAAGCAAACAAGCAAGCCCAGCCCAGATTGAAAAAGTAACGTAAAAGTAACGTAACGCATTACTTTCAATAAAAAGTAACTAAGTAACGTAATTAGTTACTTTTTTAGGAAGTAACGCAATTTTGTAATGCATTACTTTTAAAAGTAACTTTCCCCAACACTGCCTAAGACCACCGCTGGAAAGAGAAATTGGTTGTGAATGCAGCTCATGTGTGTGAGAGAAAGTGAAAGAAGTGAGAATTTAAAACGAGCAATGACTTAAAGGGTTAAAAAGCCAAAAAATTGCGTCTATGAGATCAAGTCTCTTTCCAAAGCGAGATCTATTTTTGTCTTTGCTGTGGTCTGAAGGT